ATTTAGTATTGATTTAGTTATTAAACGATTGAGTTGTGTAACAGTTTACAAGAGAAACCTTAGTTTACTATGTCTACGGGGAAAAACGAAAGCAGTTATAAATGAATTACACATACATATGTAATTTACGATTTGCAATTTTTTTAAGGACTTTTAATAAGTCTTAAACCTGTTGTTTATCGTAATGTACGATTTAAAAATTTTTGGAAAGATCATTTTCGAAGAAATTTTGAAGGCATTTTAAATTCAACCGAAATATGATCACAAAAATCAATTTACTGCCAAATTATGTAAAAATTCAATTATAGTGTAGGAGCTTTAATGTTATTTTAAATGAATTGAAGTAATTAACAGTGTTTAGTGTAGTCAAGTTTACAATTTCTTTAGAAATCTGTGGTAAAGTAATTCGAATACACATTTGAATTTCATTACATAACTTACATAACTTACTCATTTTCGGCAGTTACAAATTACAAAATAACTTATAATTTTATTATATTCTGCGTTTGCTATGCTATATATGGGGTATATTAAGTTTTTACAGGGGTATGTAACATCCCGAATGAAGTTTTGTTATCATGTTCTGAGCCTATTTTAATTTATGTATCTACCTTAGGTACCTGTCCATTTTCTTTTTTATGTTCAATCTACGAATTCTTTGAGATGTTTTGATTTGACGACATTGAAAACCGATTCGATCCGATCAATTTTACGATCACTCTCAAGCTCTTCCCACACAACTATTGCTGCAACAAGTAAGTCTTTATATGGTAAAAATTTTCAATTTTTACTATTCTATCACATCCAGCAGCAGGCAGAAGACGTCAAGTAAAGTACATCAACTTTTGATTTGAATGATTGCTTGCTTTTAGTTGGGAATGAAATAATTAAAAGCTATCTCTTTCTTCTCCATGTCGCCAGTGTTTAAATTATTTCTCTTCGATACTATGAGATAATTGGACAATTGCCAAAGCACTGCGCGATGCAGTAGAAAACAATTTTTTCGATTCCAATTTTTGTGTTGTTGTCCTGTTCATAACGCCTTGACCCAAAAACCCAATCTGCAGCAATTTTAATGAGTTCTTCTCACGCAATTCCTGTCTCTTTTTTTTTTGTTAAATCTTACTCTCTCTCCTTATGATATCTCAACAAAGGGTACAAATTAGCAGCAAGCAAAGAAAATCTTGGCGCTATGACATACCTTAAGGGCATCAACGCGAGTAAATATTAACAAAAGCTGTTGTGTTTCAGTTCATATCTATCACTTTCTTTTCTTAAATACTATTTTCTAGCATATCCAACAACAAAACATTCTCTCTCTTATATATATTTTTTGAATTTATCACAACAAAAAATAGGAAGAAATAGGAAAGTTGTTTTCATGCCAACACTATATCCATTAACACATATATGACAAAGCCTTCTTCACCTCACTGTCACTAAACACTTAAGGATTGTGCTGCTTTGATCCTTTTGCTATTGCTTTTCTTAAATCTTATCCTTTATGATATTCCCCAGAAAAAGCCAATCCTCCTGCTGCTTCTTTTTCATAAATAACATTTTCTTCTTCACTCTGAATTAATAAACGTTTATCAGACAACACAAATACATAGTAGTCTCAAATCTTCCGATGATCTCAGCGGAAATAAAAAATACTTTTCAAATATATAAGAATTTATTTTCAATCTTAAGTAGATAGGTAAATGCTCTTCTTCTTACTCTTCTTTATAGCAGAAATTTCCAAAAACTTGGGATGTAGAAGCTGTCATCTCACTACAATATATTGGAAAATTACAAGCAATCGCATTCTACGCCACAAAACCTCACTACCAATACACAAATACCCCAAACTTCCATTGCTACCTTTGCGTTCACAAACAAATCGCGCAACAAATCAAATTTTAGAAAAAAAAAAAAACGGAAAATTCACAGGATTGCTTGAAGGGGATACTTTTTTAAAGGGCGAACAAAATTTGCTGACTTATTTTAATTAAAATTTAATTAAAGTTACGCATAATCAGCTGTCAAAATAATTCAATTTACAATTAAAATAAATATATGAAAAAAATGTTTTTTCATTTTATCTAATCTACGGATTCGAATTAATAATGAGAAAAAAAAAAAAATATATATATATATATATATAATAAATTGGGTTTCTGTAAGAGCCGGTTCATTATGAAAATGCTCCAAGTTCAAATGCTTTAAAATCAACATATATTGTTCTATATATTCTATACACGCATACGCATATGCACAGAATGGAAAATATGAAAATATAGAATTAGGCGATTGAATATTTTTGAAAAAAAGAAAATAGCTTGGGCCACTTCCAAAATAAACAGCTCTTATCTGTGAGTTCTCTGTGCATTCATTCATTGTATGCTATGATTATTTAATATTTTCATTTTGGGAAAAAAAGAAAAAAAAAAGGAAAATGGAAAAAGCTTTAATCGTAATGTACCAGCAGAAGATACATTTTGACGATCCATTGCCGATGTAAATGAACGTTGGTTTTGCTTATATTTGATGTCTTTATGCCTTTTAGTTTAATATTTTTTCTATACACAGCTACATTTAGTTTACATTAAGAGTAACTGTATCTGTTCTTTTTTTTTTTTTTTTTTTTCTTTTTTTTTGGATTGCACTTATTTTATTATACTGATGTGAATTTTGCGTATTTACCTTTACAGAGAGAGTACATCTATTATATGTGTGAGTTAATGAAAGACAACAACTACTATCTCTTAGATAATGTTCAGTATTTACTTAACTTAAAATTGCTTACTTTATATGAGAATTGTCATGGCAGGTTATCCATCCATTTAAAGGGCCTAATTTCAAAGAAAACTTTCACGTGCCCCGTGACGTTCATCACCTAACATTACGCGTTGCGATGGTGGCTCGCCGTATTGATCTTGATAATAATTTTCACGCATCATTGTATTCAGACTCGAGCAACGGAAATATAAGATTTCTTGAAACGGTTTACGAAAGTCTCGATTAAGTGTCGCATATATTATGGGATTGAGCAATGAGTTCGCATATCCTAGCCATAGAAATAGCGAAGACAATGATTGTGGAACGTGCACAGATTCTGATTCTACGAATGGACGTATAAGAGCAAGTATAAAAAATGGCAGCCAACATATGGTAAAAGCAGACATGATAATGCCTAACGTAGTAGAAGCTTTCTTCTCTTTGGCCAACTGAAAACGTAATTTCTTATGATGCGGTGACCCGAGAAGTCCGCTAGAACCGCTTCCGCCACCCTGACCGGTTGACAAGCCACCGCAAGTCGAGTAATTGAGCGAGGTATTACCATAACTGCTATGGCGATGTTGACCATTGTCTCCGAAATCTAAATTAGTGTGACCCGTTGGTGAGCCGGTGCCGTTAAGTGCATGTTGTAGGTGGGTTTGCGCTCTCTTCTCCTCGAGTACAATTCGGCGGGCCGCCCGAAAAATTTGATAATATACGAAAAGCATTACCGAAAGTGGTATGTAAAAGGAACCTAGAGTCGCATATATTTGATAGGCGAAATTTTGACAAACCGCACAGGTAGGATCGCCACTTTCGTCAACATGCTCATTGCCTAAAATCAGTAGCGGTGGCAATGATATGCATGCCGCCGCTAACCATACCAATGCTACACATAACATCATGCGGCGAGGTGTACGCTTGACACCGTACTCTAATGGCTTAGTTATAGCCAAGTATCGATCCACAGAAATTGCACATAAATTTAAAATGGAAGCTGTACAGCATAGTACATCAAAGGATACCCAAATATCACATAAGAGTGGACCGAAATTCCATTTCTCTAATACCTCGTAAAGTAAAGCCATTGGCATTACCAGCACAGCCACACAAAGATCGGAGAGAGCTAGGGAGACCAGCAAATAATTGCAAGGTCTGCGTAATTTACGTACCATACAAACGGCTATGCAAACGAGAACATTACCTACAATGGTGCCTAAAATCACAAACAATAGAACAATACTAACCAGGATAGAATTGAACGGAGGTAAAACAAACTCTGAGAAATAGATATCAGTATCGTTAGCCGTCAATTGCGTCGAACGAGTTGTAGTGATAAGACCGGCTAAAGTTCTAGCTGCTGTTCCATTAGTAAACGTTAATGATAAGTCGTTAATTTTTGTGTTATTCACATAATCGAAACTGATGATCTCTGAATTGAAAAGATGCTCAGACGTATTTGATAGATTCTGATCTGCGATTTCCGTTACGAGGGCCAAGGCAAACCCTGATTTTAAGCAATCGCTTATTACGACCAATAAAATTGTGTATGAAAGTAAGCGTAGACCAGTCCATAAACAGTTGAAAAATTTCTTTGAAATATCCTCAAATTGCTTTAATCGATCGCGATTGTATCTACTGTCACTAGATTTGCAGGCATAATCTGCAGATAATTTCAAAGAATAAAAAGACGAAGAATAATGCGATACGCTAGAGGCGTGAAAAGAAAACTTAAGATATTGCTTGAGATCCGCTCCCTCCCACGAATCCATATAAATTATCGGCTTTTCAAGAATTCCGTTCAAGGCGAAATAATCGCTTCGTAGATTCCTTTCTTTACCTCTTTTATAAAAACTTTGCCTGCGATACCTAACAATTTGTCCTCAAATTTCGATTTGATTCGATTGGATTGATGTTTATTTGTAGATTGGTTTTGTTTTTTGTTTGTAGATTGGTTTTTTTTTTTGTTTTTTTAAAATTCACTCAAAGTATTGCTTACCTATTTTATACAATTATTCCACGTTTTCATTACGGCTTATATTAAACTCTAATAAGAAGAAAAAAATAATTTTTTCTCTCTACATAGTCTACTAATTTGCAGTTGATGTTAATCACAACAATACGATAATGTTGCAGCTGTTGTTTCTATTTGATTTAGTATCACATTCTTCTGCCATGCTTACCACAGCTTATCCTTTATTTTTCATGTTCATGATGGTCGCCGCCGCTGAGTTTATCCTCATTGCAGTTGTGAGTTGTGATATTGTTTTTGTCTTTTGTTTTTTTTTTTTTTTTTTTACTTCAAGCCTCTTCTGTGTGAGAAGATTGCGTGGCATCAGTGCATGCTAATAGCTTAGCGTGATACAAACGCTATGTTTTTTATTACAATGTTTCTCTATATAATTTGTTAGTTAGTCTCTCGGTTGTGTTTCTTTGTTTGTTTTTTTTCCATTAGGCTTTTCAGCTTCCAGGCTTATTTTAGTCCTTATATATATATATATACATATGTATATATATATGTATAGAATGCAAATGTAAAAAAAAAAAAAAAGAAGAAAAAAGAAAGAGAAATAAAGTACGTTGTGTTATACTGTCAGTTGAAACCGGTTTTACTGGAAACTCTATGATGATTGTCCGAAATCTGTAAAAGAGAAAAAACCATGTCACAAGGCTTACGATTTCACAAAAATGCAATGAAAATTCGTTTGTGCAGCAAAAGTCATTTAAAGTGATCTATTACGTAATCTAATGTAGACAACCTATACATCCTTCTTCAGAAACTGTTTTCATCTGGTCCTTTGCTTTAATAATTAATAATAATAAAGTAATAGCACTGCATGCCACATAGATTTCGTTAAGCTTCGTTAAGCCAATCATTTTCATGCTATGTCTTCTTCTGATTTCTTGTGTTCGGTACTTGCACCACTACACTGTTTAGGAGTTTGGTTAAAAAGTACGTCAAGGCTAGTGATAGTATATGATTCCGAATGCTTTCATTTTGTCAATGTCATATTGTTTTTGTAATCAGTGAATGTGTAACAGAACGAGGTAAATCGAAGTGCACGCGACTCGATGGAGGATATTTTACGTAAAGGATAATACCACATGAAATTTTACAAAAAAATAAGTTTATTTCATTGGACTGGATACATTTTTGCAGTTCGAATGGGAAGTTCTGTCATCCTCAGCCATGTCCTCACCAGACATGGCGTCTTCTGATTACCAGCCCTTCAGATCGGTGCAATATGACTTGATTGGCACGTGGGTCCGCAAAGTTGAAGAATTGCGACATTGCGAGTCGGTCGATGGATCGCTGCCAAGCCAATACAAGTTCTTTTGACATGATATAGCTATGCAGCTTATTTCGATTAATATGTATTCTATGAATTTTCCACAAAAAATGCCTTTGGAAAGTGACAAAAGCTTTCCAAATTACGCTTAATGGGCGCCCATTAAAACATAAATTTTTGAAGGCCAATTATATATCGGGAAAAAGTAAACTTGAAATTCCAAATTATATCTTGATCTAATTATGTAATATTATATAGCAAAGCAAAAAGAGAAGAATAGTGAAAGAAGATCTCTGTTTTACTAAATTTGGACCATGCCAGTCCACAACAATTCAGTATGGATTTCTTTTCCCTTATAAGAGTTTCCATATATCATTTATAAGAGAGGCGTAAAGTATGTAATGAACGCAACTTGTATTGCATTTTGTCACTCTTTCTTACAGTTTCTTACACTCTGTTTCCTCTTGAAATGTTTTAAACTGTCTAAAATAGTTTGCAGTTGCAACTGTAACGATGTAAGTATGCACACATTTCCATTTCGATAAACAAGACTGTAACATGCCAAGAACATTGTGGATTGAAATATCATACAAATGTTTACAAATAAATATATGTGTATTCTCTCCATGTAAAGTTATTCTTCTTCTTACCATGTGTACGTCAAATAGATACTTCTAGTTATGAAAACCTATGTTCATCGTTTGCACTTTCGCTTTTGATCTGTTAATTCTCTCTCATTTTTTTTTCCTTTTTTATCTGTAAGAAAATCTTGACAATTTTCAATACATATATATATATATATACATATATATGTATCCCTGTTTTTTTGCTCAAGAGAAAACAGTTCAGCAATATTCTAGTTTAAAAGCACAAAACAACAAGTTTTTCTTGTCAATGATAAAAATTTTGTGTTTGTTCGCGTGAACGCATGAACATATGAAAACTAAAGTAAAAGAAAAGCAAAACTTTTCTACTTCTACTTCTACTTTTAGTTTTTTTAAAAAAAAACTTTCTTTTTTTTTAAAACATTTCCTATCTTTCTTTTCCGTGATCGTTATTAATGGCCTTTCTTATCCGACGACTGTATTGGATTTCTTTTTGGCACACTGTCTTTGAAAAATGGAATATTTTTTTAACAGTGCGATAAATATCATAGAAAGGGAGTAAGAAGAAATATTTAATAATTAAGATATCGTTTTTTGTAAATATTTTCCATTTGAATTTAACATTTTTCAGCACAATTTACTTAAACCCTTCAGTGCACTGGAGTAGATTTAATTGCAGTTTTTTTTTTTTTTGGGGGGGGGATCGTTTTTGTTTAATGTAGATAGGAAAGGATTATGTATGGAATAGCACATCGGACGAATGGCTTCCGTGGCTTTGCTGGCACATATGCGCTCTTTTTTTTTAGAAATTTTCCATGAGCTTCTTCTCCAATTTTTAATACAGCATATATAAAACGTAAGTACATAATTAAGTCCATTTTCTGTCGTTCGGGGTAAAAGAATGCATGAATTTTTTTTTTTTTTTTTTTTTTGCGACATTAATCGATTTGGCAGGTGAGGCATTCAATTGCAAATGCAAAGAAAAACAATTTATATGAAAATAGTAGCAAAGTAAAGTGCAAATATAAATTCAGCTACAACTAGCTATGTAAAATGTATTCATAGAGAGAGACACATTCACACACATGAAGAAGAAATTGAAAATTTAAAATGTAAACAGACTTGTGGTGCGGGAAAAAAACTATATGTGATATGCAATCACATCTAAGGAACAAAGAATTTGTTATATAGGTGGGGAGGAAAAAAATTATGAACAGGCATTGGATCAAGTTGGGTGAATGATGATGGACGGGTGGGGGGGGGGGGGCTGTAAATATATATTTTTGATAGAAAACGAAGTTAAGTTTTCTTCTTCATTGGATGAGTAATTTTCCTCACATTTTAACTTAAAATAATTGCGAATTCATTCGTGTGACACGAATTCGAATTAAATTGATTACGTTTTCATTAAAAAAGTCCTCAAAATAATTACGTGACAATTAAACGTGTTGAAAGTGATGTAAAAATAATGTTTGGAATGAGAAAACTGCACACACATTAAGACAAGCATTTTCTATTTGTTATTTATTTATTTTTTTGTGGGGGATGGGAGCTACACTAAATATTCCCGTACATGATGTTATTAGTTACTTTCGCTATGTCGTCCTAAAATACTAAGCAGTAATGAGAAATGTTATCTTAAAGAAGGACATCACTATATATTTTTGGAAAATTCAATTTTTTCTTGCCCTCAACGGTGTCGTGAATATTCACGAATGATGTATAAAAAGGATGATTGTGATCGTGACAATATTTTAAATGGTTGAACAATTTCGCGCTGTCTTCATATATGTAATAGCAGTCATCGTAACGCTTGTAAGGGAAATATTTTGTTTCACTTTCTGCAAAGATTTCTGTTAGCGCCTTACCAGCAAATATGAAAAATCGAAAACAGCATTTTTCGCATAATTTACTTCTATTACTAGCATGAAAGTAAAAATGACGTCGAAGATAGAAAGCAAATGGAGACGATGAATGGACAGTGCCAAACAAGGTTTGCCTATCGTTTTGGGAGGCCAGTAGAAAACGATAAAGACAAACTAAAGACATTAATTGTGAAGCAAACCACCGAATGACATCCCGAAAGGCCACTGCAAGAGTTTAAAGCTCTTGAACTTCAATGCTTTTAATAAAATATTTACACATTATAAAGCAAGTGACTTTTGTTTTGGTCAAGCAAACGAAACTTTTTTCCAATCATCCAATGCAAAGGCTTCCTCAAACCTTATATAGACCAGGCTTGAAACCGTAGTCAGGAACAGTTCTATAAAGTTAAGGTTTAACGGGAGGTTTTATATAGTTTACGTCATTGTGACCGGTGGGTATCCCTTAATTGTTATGCATATTGTAGTGTGACATACAATTGCATAATGTGCGCACAATTTATATAAGTGATAAACAACAAAAACAAAAGGAAAGGAAAGAAAATGTGACACATCTCAAAATTATCGAATTGCAATTTAATTCAGTGAAAAGGAAGCAATTACGTTAAACGCCCTTACTCTTCATTTTCATATTTATAGCTATAGTAATATGCAGATGCAGTGTTATGTAATATATGTTTATGTGTATGTTTATTTTGTATTAATATTCTAAGTAAAATTCGTAGAATATTATAACAGTCAGATGAATTCGGAATAAAAAAGTATATGATGTAAAAACATTTAAATGTGTTCAAACCGATCATTTTTCACTATATATATATTATTCTGGGAATCTACACAATTGAGAGATAGATACCCAGGTTATCTATCTCACTTCGTTTTTTCAGTGCAATATTTTCGTTGTGAAATTCCGGAACAATAAATCGAGCGTTCATTTATTTCCTTTTAGTAAATTTTACATAAAAATGAAAAATTTCTACAATTATTCTACAATTATTCGCTTCGAAATGCATAGGTATTTTGCCAATTAATGAAATAATTTCAAAACAATTTTTTTTTTTTTTTTAATTTTTTCTAAATAATTTCGAGTGTTTGATTAACGCGGAAAACCATTGCATGAAATGATGCATAGTCGACAAGTGTTTGACAATGACATACTAATTAATAAAGAAATTGAAATCATTTACGATGAAAGCGTTTTTAATTTTATTGAAAAGCATATTCGAATTTTCTTTTTATTTCGTTGACACTGAGCCAAGTGTTTATTCTGTTTTTCGTATTTATTTATAGAGCTTTAACAACTCGCTTTAGCGTCCGAAAAGGTAAGAAATAATATAAAGTCCATTATTATGACATTGTATGATCTATATAACTGAGTCTCACAGATGTGTTGTTTTATTGACACTTTCAAACCAGACATATTGGACACGTAAAAGGAGCTCGCTTTTAGTCAAAGAAACAACTAATGATTGCTTTATTATGCGCTATGGATTGATTGGCCATTGTATCAAAGTTCTTTTCTCTTTAAACAAGCATAAAGTTGGCTACACGAACACTACAATCCATTAAAAGAATTTAATGTTGCAAAGAAAGAGACAGCATAATGAGTCGATTAATAATCGAAACAGAAAAGAAAAAAACTTAAAAACATTTCTTCATCTCGAAGAGCTTACGCCTGTGATTTTGTATGAAAGATTTTCACTGTCAATTAGGAGTGAATCGAACGTGTACAAAATCTTGTCTCATACGTTTGTCACTGCAATCGCTCTAAGTTGCACCTCTTGGTGTATTTGCCATATTTATCGACAATGAATGTGCTGGTGAACTATGTTGCTTAGCTTTCACATATGCAATTGAAAAACATAGCGTTGACGTGAAAAAGACGGTTTCCTATGATTTCATTAAGAAAAAATAGCACGGGATCGTCTATACCTTTATGTAGATAAGTGAGCAATTGAATTTTCAAAAGGCCTTGACTTGCATCAATCAATCCAAAGTGTACTAGAGCGAGACATGCCATAAGTGTACATATTTTACTATTTCGAAACAGTCGTTACAGTCGTTTTTTAATCAGGTTAAGACGTTTGGATGATAATATATCTGACTTTCTAGAGAATTTAAAAGGACACATGCTCTACGCTTTATAAACAGAGCATTATCTATGCAAGAGTTTTATACTTGAATCATTTGCACTTGTGTGACTTGCCTTAGATTTTATTAATTTTAATCTTCGCAATGCATGACAATCGTAAGGTTCAGAACCAAACGCATAAAATTTGAAACGAAGCTAGTACGAACGAGTATTATTGAACATGAGATATTGAGTGCACCGGCTAACACCTCTGTAGCAAATAACTGATGGCTCCGCGTAAACGGTAAAAGTCATTTAGTTTAACGGGAAGATTAGAGTTAATGTTTTGTAGTATGTATGTTACCTATATTGATTACTTTGCGGAGAGTGCAACATAAACAAATGATATGACGTTAATAGGATTTAAGCGTAAGGTCTTTTTCACTTTTATTCATTTCAAGATAGTCCACCAAAATGTATCAAATGCTTTTGGACTTCTCAAGACTTCAACCCCCCCCTCTATCTATTCCCGCGTTGAACAATGGTTTTGGTTATTTATATAGCACATGTTAAGGATTGCATACACCTGCTTACTGAACAAAATGGTTTCGATGCTAAGTCAGTTAAAAATTTATCTTATTTATCTCTGCCATCCAATATATAGGATTAAGTTGGAGATGCAGTAGCCGGCAGGATAAACTATTTTATAGCTAGTAGTAGAGTAAACTAAAAGGCGCACACATATAAATAAAAGCTTCCAGGCAGCTTTGAAATGCATAGACTAACGAATTTTTCAAAAAATTACAACAGCCTTCAACACAAAAATGTTCACCTTTCGAGACAGAGGGAAACAGTTTTTTTCTAATTTCATATAAGTGCGACTTTCACTATTCAACAATTTTCAATTAAGCAGATTTGGTAAGGGCTTGGCAAATAACATTTTCCACGTGAACAAGTTAAGTAGGAAATTCTCATTAGCTACACATGGGTAATTTTTGTAAATTTCCTGTTGCGACTGCATTATATTTTTTGCCGAAATTTTTGCTAGCATTGCTCAAATCTATAAATTAAACTCATAAAATTTTAACATTCACTATTTCGTTTATATGCAGTCGTCGCTGTGCCTCACAAATATTGTATGATTTTGTGAAATAAATTAAATTTCAATTATTGTTTTGAATCGTTTTATGGAAAGAAGAATATTGAAAAATCATTTATATAAAGTGCGTAGATAATCGGACACGTGTTTATGGTTGAACGCATTTTATAACAGAAATCAATCAATCGATTTCATGAAAATCCCTATAAATATAAGATGCAGTTACATTTTGTCGGCCATCCTTTTAATGAATATTGAAAAATTCCGCTCTTTACTCGTTACTCGTGTAAAGCGCCGACATGTAGTCGATCGATTATAATTAAAAACTCAATTCATTGATGCGTTATAAACATAAGCAGGAAAATCAATCAGCAACAGTGTGAATTTTGAATGGGAAAAATGTGATTTACAAACAAGTTGATGAAAGGAAGAAATCCAAAAATGGAATGATAAATGAATGGCTGCATTCCCAATGGATGAGGCGCAACAGATTTCCCTTTCTTTCATTCTTATTAACTTGGCTGTCTATCCGATGTCTGCATTTTAGTGCGCTCAAATGTTTTAGCCGACCGGCGGGCAATATAATGATAATTGATTCGAGAATTTTGCAAATTCCTGGCGAAGCATTCATTTTGAGCAAGTTGATTATATTACGTAATTTACGTAAGTTCATCTCTTCGATGGCTTCCACGAAAAGCATGGCTACAATGGCTACGTCTTGCGCAAAATGTGAACAAAGCTGATTAGCTCTTTATTAGTGGCCATAAACGCAACTAACGCACTGCACGATATAATATATCTTCGATTAAGAATCTATGTGACATGTGACCGCTCTTGATGTGAGAATTAAAATGTACAAACTTCTTCGCTGACGGGATATAAAAATTTCATTCCATTAACAGCACCTGCTTTATAACTCTCATATCTACTTATTTTTCCATTTCAATATGAAATAAACGAAAATGACTTCAATGTCAATACATAATTATGCAATTATGCTTTCTGCACACATATTATGTCATGTAATTATAAAAGCAGAATCATGTGACAAAATGAATTTCGAGTAAACATTGATCCGTATTCAAATTTCATCTCACATCAATGAACGACATATACATGTTTTAACCATAAAACGAAGAATAGTGTAAAAAATAAAAAGTGAAAAAAAAAAGAAAAAAAAAATGAAATGAAATGACATTTTTTTATAGAAGCACAAGATACAGTGAAGTGAAATCATGTGAACTGTATAGTGCTCAGGACACATTTATGCCATTTATACACATACATTAAATGAATCAGAGCTCGAATATATTAATGATAAAGTTATATTCACCTTGAAGCGAGTCGCTGACACTTATCACTCATCTCAAGGAAAAATGGAAATGTCGCGAATTAATTAACCGATTGTCATTGACTTAGTTGCACTGAACTTTTCCTTTAAAATTTCTTTTCGCATACGAAAACTCTTGGATATCGTGGCCATAGACCAAAACATACGTATCCGTATATTTCAATATGTTGGCGGGAAAACAGACGTTATTAAATCGAGCTGACGGCCTTTTTATGCGGTCTTCATATTTTTACGTATTTTCAAATACAATCACAACTACAATGTATCCACATACCTCGATGGTAAGCATAAGAAGTATTTTAGCAGCCAGCACTTTCGGTATTGCATTACATGGTGTTAAGTAATTTATCTGCAATAGAGCAGCTGAGCTATACTGACCTCGTTGCATGTTGGCTAAGCCAGAACAGAAAGTACACAACTCAAGCCAAAGTAACAAAAGCAGAATTGTTTCTCTCTATTTGTACGAAAAATATTTCCTCAGAATTAGAGAATTTTTTTCCAAGTGCTAAAGAATTTATTATGAAATTTTTGTGTTCAATTATATAGTAGATGGAAAGAAATTTAAATTAAATTAAATTTTTGATAAACAGAAGCATGTACACTAAGAATTTTTGCCAAAAACTATTTGAACTCAATTAATATATTGATTGTAAATGTCTTTATATAAAATACGCCCACTTAGTAAAGTCAAAATTAAATTTCAGGTTTTTCGGTTGATATCGAGAAGTTGCTACATACACAATTTTACATCTTTATATTTTACAATTTTAAGTCTTGGATGTTTTCTACCTATTTTCTACAAATCATTCGTCGTTAGTGGTTGTAGAAGACCATACGCCTTTCAGTTGTTATAAAAATCAAAAATGAATACGAGATCAACCTACTAAAAGGACAACTTAACTTTTCTTAACGCGAATCACAATGACCTTGAACTTAGGCATAGACGTGAGGTAAAATTACACTGACTTAATAAAATTGTGTTGATGTGATTTATGCGATAATTGCGATGAAATTTTATTATGAAAAAACAAATGATTTGTATGACTTACCTTTTTCATATTTCTGCTTGACTATGAAGAATTCATCTGAAAATGAAATAAAGAAAAATATTATTAAAAAATGCGTTAAAATATTACGTTAACGTATTTCTATAGCTCTAAGCAAATATATGATAAACATGAAATAATCGACTTGTGCGAACACCTGTTCGTCGATTGTTTTTATTATCCACAAATACGAAGAAAGTAAACTTATGGTTACGGCCTTTATTAAAAGTGTTAACCGAAAGTTTGGTAGTGAGAAGTCTCAGTACCTTGGAAAGCCATTAACAATTTCCGAACGAAAGAAGAAAGAAAAAGAAAAATTCTATGTAATGATCCGATATGATCCTAAAGTAAATATAAGAAATTTTTGCCTGTCTACAGGCTTGGATACAGTACGCTTACTGTGATACACCAAATATGCGATTTTCAACCTCACATAAGAAAGCCGTATATTCAGGACGAGGAGGTGGTGAAGTCATTTTTACAAAACCAAAAAAAAAAAAAAAGAAGCATAATACATACATAGAATCTATTAAAAACATTATCCTATTTTTCAAATTCAGTTATTGCAGCAAACTAGAAAACAAGATGGAAATACTTTACGCAAGCAAGCTCCGAATATGGGCTAAAAGTCAAGTCTACTAAGCTGCAAGCACTTTATTAAGACAACAAAAAGAATAATAAAAAAAGGAGAAGAAGAATTGTTTTATAAGAACAACAAGTTCAAATGCTAGGGAATAAGAAAATTGGGTAATAAATGATGAAGAAGGAGAAAATTTAATTTTTATGCTTAAACTAGATTAAATTGCTATACGGACTTTTGAAAATGACTTTGCAAAGTTGATAGCTTCGCTTCGCTTTGACACGGAAAGTTTTATACGTCAAGCAAATCGTCAAACGGAGACTAAATCATTTAATAAACTTTCTTTAGAATATTACGAACAGATCACTTTCAAATATTAGAAATGAAAAAAGCTATGCCGTTATATGTTGCATCTTTTTCAACTACACATCATTTTATTTCAATTTTTAATGCGAAATGCGAAATGCGAAATGAGAATTTAATGTAAAATATAAAATAATAGGAAACTTTTTAAGTGACGTCGTTAGTAAACTTGAACAGTAATAGTAAGAATAGTAAGAAATTGTATATATATATATATATATACATATATATGTGTGTTTGTGTGCACATGTATAGTATATAGCGAAACGTATAAAGCAAATTTTAATGAATTGAAATAAAAGGATAAGGAAGAGAATGTGCGAATAGTATAAGTTAGAGAAGGTGTGAAGGAGCAAACACCTTTTTCTATGTAGCATTTTAACTGATGCTATGAAGTTTTTTTTTTTTTTTTTGTAAACGTAGACGTTGATCACTTTGTACAAAATCCGAAAAATAGGTCTGGTCTGGTAAGAAAAAAATGTGGTTCACGTATTCGTTGCAAGACTTTGCAATAAATGTTCTCGTCTGCTTCCATTTTAAATAGCGTTTATGTATGTATGCAGCATTTTGCCACCTAATAAATGATACCTTTTTGGATCTCATACGTGCCACAATGTCTTATTTAATACATATTTCATTTTAGTTTTCAACTCTAAAAAAAAAAAAAAAAAAAAAACCAAAGCAAAAAGGGCACGTAGTGTTCAGTTTAAATAGAATATATGTCACGCTACATTTGCTTGCTTGTGAGAATCACAAAAATACTTAATAGACATTGTGTGTTGTTGTTATTACTCAGACTAAAATTTTAAAGTACTAGCATTTGAGGCTATCGGCACTCTTTTTTATATATAGATAGTAAATACACTCACTGTGAAAAGCTTTTTAAGTGAGCACACTACAAAAACATGTTCTATATGATGATAACATGCAATGAAAATGAATTTGTCTTCTATACATAGCACAGTGCAGTAACTGTCTTTCCTCTTCTAGCTATGATCCATTCTGAAAGAATCTTATGCGTGAAAAGTATTTTGATACTTGTGTATGAATATTGAATAGAAATTCTAGTAGTCTTAGAATATGCGAAAAATGCTTTCATTAAAAATTTAATCAATCCTCCCATATAGCAATAATTAATTAATTAAGAGCAGATTTGCATAAGCAGATATTTTCTTAAATATGTTGACTAAAAAATTAAAGAGAGAGAGAGAGAGTGCAAAGAAAGCCATACTTTGCGGTAATCCTTTCCTAACGATGATCGATGATCAGCTTCAGTTTCTCGACCTAAAGTGAAATCAAAATTGAATGCGAAACAAACTGCAACAAAGGAATTATTTTCTTATCATATGCTGTGACGTGTGTAGAGCCATGTGTAATAAAGTGTACCGATCTCAAGTTTCATAATCTTTTTATTGTGTTAGCGCACACGCACGAATACACATATCCATCTGTCAACGAAATCTACGTGTTCGTCTGCCGGGTTTTCTTCTTCTTCTTTTTTTTTTTTTTTTTTTTGTTATACTCGCATACTTGTACGTATAGAAACGCACCAAAGATATTGCGTGCAGTCATGGTCGTAACTGTTAAAATACCGTTTAGCAATACAATGACGAAATGTATGCAGACAATTTGTTCCATTTTTACTAGCATTTTTATATGTTAGTAGTGATAGATAGATACATTTGTATAAATAGATCTACATTTATATCTAAGTTCTATGCTTGTATAGTTTTGTATAAGCAAGTACACATTGCTGCAAAGGTAGAGAGAAGAAATGAAAACAGCATTGATTTATAACACAAAGTTGATGATGTGGATCAAATAAAACACACATATTCCGCATAATATTGTATGAGTGGATATGTATTATACGGCATGCAATCACATTAGAGACATGGCCTCATTTTACACTTGTCAATGCCTTTTTATACTTGCTTTAGCAGAAAATGAATTTACACAAACTTTTCATATTGTTTGTAACGCTCCGAACGATACCATGACGAATACATTTATATATACCTAGGGATCTAAGTCAATGCCGGCTGTTGGATGTCTTCAGTATGCTGCTCATATATGTAATGAATTAAATTTTGCCTAAAAACTTTCTGCCTTCTTTGGTTAAGAAAATAAAAAAAAAAAAACATTGAACTAAATAACTTGAACTACGCCTACAAAATGGAAGAAAAAGGTATAGTATTTAATATAAAGAAAATCGAACTTCTACTCCTTAGGTATGTTCCGTTTCTAGCCTTTCTTTTTTTTTTCCTTCTTTTTTTTCCTTTTTATTATTGTAACTGTCTATCACTCAACGATGGCTATGTCAGCAGCTCATACAGTCTGTCCTTTTTTTTTTTTTTTTTTCTAAGCAATCAAATTTGAAATATATGTATATGTGTACGTGCTGCTTTCATTTCAATAATAAAATAAATCGAAGTAATGCTCAGACATTGATTGTGCATGCACGCGTCGATGGTGCTTCTTGTGGTAAGTAAGTACCCGTATACAAACATATTGAAAAGTTTTCAACATCTCTTCAAAAGTGGCAGAACGAGACATTTTTATCATGCGCCCTCAAGTTTTGCTCACGTTTGTATAATGTAAAGAAACATTGAAAGAAAATCGTATATTTAAACGTTTTTATAAATGAATTATAATGAAAGAATTCTTGCGTTATTTTATAACGTATTATTGTTGTTGTTGTTGTTGTTGTTGCACGTAGTAAATTAATGTAAAGAAGAGAGAAAAAGACTCTTCAGCTTTCCTTTCCTTTCGCATCACATTTTAGTCATGCCATTTATACTTGAATTCATTTAAATTTTAACAGAATTTACATTTAATTTTAATGAAAAATAACATTTCTATATAAATAGCGATAACAAGTGAGGATTAGAAGCCTTTTTTGATATAAAGAAAACATGATTGAAAGTAAATAACAATGAATTAGAAAACGAGATCTGTTAGGTTTTCGACTAAAAGCCGCAACAGTACCCGATTCAATTCGGGATGCCGGTACGGATAATGAACCCTTTCGCGACGACTGCCGTCTGTATACGATATTGTTTCACATTAACTGGGGTCAACTATGTACATATTACCATCCGAAAAATTAAGCATTCTTCTCAGTAAGTCTTTCGTGTGCAAAAACCTAACACAAAATTGTTTCCCTACAAATTCCGTAAGACCGAAAAAAGTATAATCATTTGCATAAATAATAAAAGTAACCTATCAAAGGTAAAGCTAGTAGGTATATGCATACTATTAATGCGTGCAAGTATAAATTGCAAATATATATTGATCGCCAAGTAGGGTATTCTTGCATTGTCAGAAAAGACGACAAAGTATAGTACTGGCGCGCCATTGCGATAGGTTAAGTGTTGCTCTCAATTTTTGCTATGAAAAAGTCGCCAAACCTGCTGCGGTAAAACTAAATTAGACGTTGAATTGTTTCAATTGGAGTTTTGAGCCACGATAGGCTACCGATTATCAAACAACATTTCATCAACATGTTGTTTACAAAAATTTTTCATATCTGGTTAAGCAGCCTTCGTATAGATGCTCTCTGTTCTAGGTTTGTCTTGCAAACTAAAAAGTGCCAGAAATCAGTTGTAAATTAACCCCGTCTGATTTAAGCTTTCAAGCCAGGTGTAGATGTTAAAAAAAGAGATTCCCTACTCCTCTACAGCGAACACCGCCATGACTTTAAAATCGATAGAAAACATTCCACTAGTAATGTAGCCCAGCAAGGTGGATGTTGCGATTCTCCACTTTGGAGGCAACATGTGAAGAAAATTTCGCTAAGTTTTATATATATATGTATATATGTATATATAAATACATATATATATAAAAATATATATATAAAAATATATATATATATATAAATATATATACAATAAAAATGTAAATGAGAAATTAAGACTGCGTTTTATCATTCATGCAGTGGTTTCTGTAACAGACCGAGCTAAAATTGCATTTTATAATGAGAAAATTTCATTATTATTCTCAGCGCATGATGCGCTCTTGTTCAGCATTTAATTAGCAAAAATGTAAGTGACGGCTAACAAATTAAAGCGAAAAATATATCACAGAAATAATA